GCTTGCAAGAAGGCCGACTGGGCCTCACAGTGAAGACGTGCAGCAACGAACCCGTGGAGCTAGAGGATGGCACGCAGCTCGGTAAAGAGGACCTGTTCAAGTACACGCGCCGGCCACACACGATCACACGCGTGCTCGCACGTTTTGCCGGGACATCGTGCGGATGTTTTGCCTCACGCGCATAAACAATCTCGCCTCGATTCACGTGCCGCTTACTGCATGCGCGGGTCCGCACTGGCATATTTTTTTTTCCCCATCCTCGGTGTGGGGTTAGTTTGCCCGGTCTACTTGTCCTCGCCCTGTCTACTCCTCGCCAAACTCTAGGGTGCCCAACCCCCAATTTTCCCTCGAGTGCCCGAGAGTGCCCAACGCTAAAGTGTCCTGGAGCGTGCCCAATCCCAGCGTGTCCCGGGAGCGCCCAACCCCAGATTGATTGCCAGTGCCCAACCCCAGAGTGACCCGTGTGTCCCTGGAGATAGTCACTGGGCGGTGTTTCTGGAGCACCCCAACCCCAGACAATCCCTGGAGTGCCCAACCCAGAGTTTCTCTACCCAGAAAGGGTGGGGATATTCCACGTTTTTTTTGCTTGGCGCACCTTTTTTGCTTACCGGTCAACACCCGTATGTCCCAGTGTGCTTGGCGTGACGAGCGTCGTATTGCCGTCGTCGCCAATGGCCTCCAGCTCTGCAGCGGGGCGCAGGTCGCTGTGCACCTTCCCCTCCTCAGCTCAACCACGGCGCCTGAGGGGCACCACAGCTGGCACTGCGCCGCGTGCTGCCCGTCAAAGCAAGGAGCGGACATACCCTGAGCTCGCGGGCTCGCTCGCCGCTGCCGCGCAGGGCCTCCGAGGCACGATGTTGAAATCAGGGACAAGCACATGCTGCCACACTGTTGCCCCGGCCTCTCTACAGACTCTGGAGGCCGCACGCTGGAGCGCGACTGAGGGCATGCTGCGAATCCCCAAGGCCGTTTAGATGCCGGCGGCATCTGCAGGCAGCTGCACTGCAGCTACAGGAAGCAGCAGGCGAAGCCGGCGCAGAATCAAGACACGGAAGAGCGTTGACTCAAGTTGCAATTCAAGCGAGGTGGGCCGGTCACAAAACACGCGAGCAGCGTACGGGCCAGACTGTGAATCCAGCAACGGCACCAACGCTTCATCGAGCTCGCTGAGCAAAGGCCCTCCGACAGAAGCCGTCAACTGCCCAGATGCTTCACGCTGCCATCCCCTGGAAGCCTCGAGGCCGACCTCCTCGACTTTGCAAGCGTTGACCACTCGGGCACAGCATAGCCAGAGCCTGACAGCGGGCTAGCACGGTCCCTAACGGATGCCAGAGCGGGAGGATGGAAATGGCGACCGTGACGACCCTTTGCAGGGGTTGCAGAAGCGTGCGGCCATGGTATGTGACGAGCGCTCGAGATGCGCTTTGCAGACCTTGACGCCGCATCTCGAGCACTGCTGCTGTCGCAGTGCTGTCGCAGACCGGGCCGGGCGTGCCCTCACAGCTGAAGCCTACGGTTGCAGAGCTCCTCATCCCACCAGCCCAGTTCCGGGAGCTGCCCCTGCACTCCCGCTGCAGCTGGCGCTCCGCACCTGCAGCTGCCATGGCCCCTTGGATGCCCTGGGTGACCACCGGTCGGCGCGCGCCACGTCCGGTGTCCTGGCCCCTCGCACGTTGCCGCTTCACTGCGCGTTTGCCGGTGTCTGCTGGGAAGCGGGAGGGCGGGTATGCCACGACGTGCGATTGGCATATATGAATGTCGATGTGCCCATTGCTGACGCAAGGCGGTGGCCAACGCCTCTCCCTGTGGAGTGGAGCGAAAGTCGCCGTTGACGTTACCATCGTCAGCCCCGTCACCCGCAGAGGGGAGGCGCAGCCGGGCCCTAATGTTCGCCCCGGCCAAGCCGTCGATGCCGCTGCGCGCCGGAAGCGAGAGCAAACGTATCCCGAGCTGGGTGGTTGTCGGAGTCGTGGCGGTGCTTCGGGGCCGAGGCCGCCCGCTTCCTCCGCCCATTGGCCCGGCACCGCCCGACGCCCTGCTGCACTCCGACTGGCAGCGGAAGTGGCCTGGGTCGCTGGGCCGCCAAGCCCCGGGCCTCCCGTAGGTCCGTAGGTGGCCCCGGACCTTCTGAAGTCTGCAGTTGCAAAAAGGTACGAGGAATAAATTTTATGCAAGATGCATTTAAAAGACAAAAAAGCTGCCAGGGCCTCACGCTCGTCGGGCACGTGGTTCTTTTCAACACCTCCAGCAAGCACTTGACGCTCTGGCACCTTTATATGGGCAGCTCCAAAGCCACCCGCTCGGACATTTTGTCTGTGCGAGTATGGTAGAAAATGCAGCGCTCGTTTGACCAAGATACGAGGAGCCCTCCGCTGCCCGTTGCGGGAGCAACCTGGAGCTGGCCTGCCTGATCGCGGGCCTCGTCGCCTTTATTTGGTTTCCGTGCGACCCGGAGAGGATGCCGAGGCTTCTCGAGCTCTTCAGTGGAATGGGCTCGATGGGCAGGCCCGTCGAGGCTGAAGGCTGGGAGGTCGTCAGCGTGGACCTGGACCCAATTTCGGATTGGGCCCAGCCGGTGCTGCGACGTGATACAGCTGGACGAGCGCTCACTGGGCAGCTTCGACATGGTGTAGGCCAGCCCAGTATGCACAGAATACTCGCGTGCCCTAAGTTGGTGGCTGTGGGATCTGGCGGCAGGCGACCAGTTGGTGCTTCACGCGCTTGACATCATCGGCAACTTGCAGCCCCGCTTCTGGGCCATGGAGAACCCGCAGGCGGGCCTTCTCAAGATTCAAGATTCATGCAAGGGCTGCCCTACAGCGACGTGTGCTAGTATGGGTTCAGGTACAAGAAGGCCACTAGGATTTGGCACAACATCCTTTTTTTCACGCGCCTTTTGTCGGACAGTTACCGCGGTCCCAGGCTTGCGATCAGCGGAGGGCCGCCTCGGACCTCAGCGAGAACCTCATGCAGGTCAAGCGCCTCTCCCGTGTCGCAGAGGCCACCGCCAGGCGGCAGCTGGAGGAGGGGTGCGTGGTGAGGGGAAGGGGGGAGGGCCGGGATTGTTGTTAGAACAGAAGATGCGGCTGTAACCCCTGACCGAACGGCATGGGCGGGCAGGAAGAACCAGAAGTCCAGATGCACCGACCCACGCCCCAAACCCCATAAACCCTAAACTAAAAATAAGAATTTACTTCGAACATCCCCGCCCTCTCTGGGTAGAGATACTTTGGGGCTGGGCACTCCAGGGACACTCTGGGGTTGGGCACTCCAAATTGGGTGCTCCAGGGACACTCGGGTTGGGCTCTGACACGCTGGGCTGGCACTCAGCAGGACACTTGGGCACTCCAGCCCTAACATGCTGGGGGCACTCCAGGGACATTCTGGGATTGGGGACTGTAGGGACAGGTTGGGCGCTCCAGGGATGAGCGAGGAGAAGAGTTGAATGTAAAATCTAACAACCCCACACCCAGAGTGGGCAAAAAAAATGCTTTCCGGCAAGCTTTAGAGGGCTTTGCAGAACTCAGAGGCCTCCCAAAAAATTGTCAACCAGTCCGAGGGCATTCAACTCTTTTGCCAAATCAGTCTCCTCATCACGTCGACATTGAACCGCTTTCAGTGTGGACCTTCCGATAAGCGGCGTTGCCCCCAAGTGCTCTTCGCGGCACGAGGTGGCTTGTTACCTCCTTTACTACAACTGAGCTGGCAAGATTTACAAGCCTGCGCGACCGATTTCCACAATGCCATTTCTGTCCATTTGAGCTACACGTAAAGCTGAGGCAAAGAAGGCATCTCTAGAAACGGAGGCCAAAGGCCAAGGCGAATGCTCACTGGCGACTGCCCAAGCAACATAAAGACCACGTTAAGGCATCCAAACGGTCACCCTCAATCCGAAGATCCCAAAACCTCTTTTCGGGCTGCTGGCTTCAGGTGCCCCCGCATACGGACCCGAAGCGACTTAAGGTTTTGTTCGGTTTTCAAGGCCTCCAGGCCACTTTCGAGCCCCGAACAGACTGCAAAAACAAATCACTTGTTTCGGGCTCTATATCGACCCTTTGACATGGGTTTATTCCGCAGCATTGGTCAACATTCCGATTATCGACTACAGTATCAGATTGGCGAAACTGCCATTGCCAGGCAGTAAACCATCATTGCCTATCGCCTCACCACTCCCGCTGCCTCCTACTCCTCCTTACCCTCGGCGTTTGGCCCCTCACTTTGCTATTTGGTTGCAGGAGACAAGGGGCCCGGACCCACAATCAAGATAAATACTGACGTTATAGCAGCACTGCCGCATGAAGCCAAGCCTTTTTGTACCGCTTGGCCAGAAAGTTGCAACCGAAGTCAGCAGATGTATCAAGTCAACTAAAGCCTCTCACCCTCACTCCCCTCAGCCCTAAACCCTAGACAGCTCAAGCTGAGATGTGGGCATGGCTCGCAGCACTCTAATCTTGACATGAAATAGAAGTAGCATTAGCATGAGTAGTAGTAGTAGTAGTAGTAGTAGTAGTAGTAGTAGTAGTAGTAGTAGTAGTAGTAGTAGTAGTAATAGTAGTAGTAGTAGTAATAATAATAGTAGTAATAGTAGGAGGAGGAGGAGGAGGAAAAGGAGGAGGAGGAGGAAACATAAAGAATAATAAAAGCAAAAAGCAAGAATGATGATGACAATAACCGTATGTCAGTATATCATCTGTAAACTGCGAGTGGGCTGCCAGCCTCATTCTCACTCCCGGGCTTTAGGTCTTCGGGCTTAACAGTAACACGTGTAGGGTTTAGGGCCTGTTCTAAAATTTTGAAATGCAGGTGTTGGGAACATGGGCTTCGCGCCACGTCACCTTCCGGGCCGCACTGTACCATCTGGGATGCCGCCCGGAGGTCCGAAACAGGGGACGGGTCATAGGCCCGACCACTTGGGGCTTCTGGCCGGGTTTATAAGTAGGCTAGTTGGCCTGAAGCGCCACAAAAAATGTGGTTTAGGGTTTAAGGTCGAGGTCCACAGCTCAAGATCGTTCTAACTTCTTGCGGAACACTCTTTCCAAGATCTTACGCGTCTCGCTTTGTTCAAGCCGGATCTGGCTTTGATCATGCCGAATCCGAGACAATTCACTCTGCATCTCCCACTGCCTTGGCTGTTGCTAAGCAACTTCATCAAGTTCTAACAATGAAACCAGATTATGTGCTATGATCCTTTAGGATAACCAAGATACCTACTCAGGAAACCCATTATTTATTATAGATCCCTATCATGACAACTTACATTGCGAGCCCGGCTGCACTTCCCACAGCTTCAGATTCTTCGCCGGCCCCCGCAGGCGCATGATGCCATGGACAAACTCTCTCTCCTCCACGTCCTTGTCCTGGTTCTTGTCGATCAGCTTAAAAAGACGGCGAGCTCGCTTGCGGACATCCTCCGTCGAAATGTCAAGCTGCTCGAACAGCTCTTTGATCCTGTGGGACAAGAACAACCGCACAACTCGAAGCTGACCAACCCCATAGACAAAGTGCTTTACCATGCTGCAAATCAATACCATGGGTTCGGCATCATCGGCATCATCATGGTCATCAGCATCGGCATCGGCATCCGCATCGGCATCAGCATCAAAAGCTTCGAGTTCGTCCTTGTCACCATCGTCAGCCATTCAACATCACATCCGTCATCCTCATCGTCATCATCATTAACATCATCACCAGCACCATCATCAGTTTTTCTTTCAACCTTCAGGAAAAGCAAGAAAACACCCATCTTGCCTGGGATCTTTCAAGGCTTCCGTAAACCGGTCCAGGCTGATCCGATGTCTCCCACCAGTTATCCTGGGCTCTGGCGCTTGTTTCATAAAGGGGGGCTACGACGTGCAAGAGCCTCAGGAGGTTATGACAAACTCCTCACCAAAAAAATGGACTTCCTTAACAAGGACCCAGGATCTCCTGGAAGAGCTTCTTTAGTCGGCCTTCCACCTGATCTGCGCTGGCTGTCTCCACGGCTTTTTGACACAAGTGAGCCGTCAACACCGTCATCATCATCAAGTAGATCAGAGTCATGTACACACTGATGATGATGCAGGCGAGGGGACTGACGGACCGAATCGGCCTGACAAGGTCATCAAAGTCAAGGCCCCCGAATGTTCCCATGAAGACGTTGTACATGCTCTCCCAAATCGATTCGAAGTGCTCCCCGCAGGGCCCGACCACGTCCGGCTGCCTACAATCCTCTGCAACCACTGCCGTTACCAAAGTGGCGACAGTGGAGATCGAGAAGAACAGCACGAACACTGCGGAAAGGAGGGGCACCACGGCCCCTTTGATGAGGTCCATCTGAACCTGTCAATTGCATGATGACACAAAGGGCACAGGTCAATTGCATGATGACACAAAGGGCACGGGGAGAAGCTCTTTTCAAGTCCAAGAGAACGCCTGCCTTCATGCTTGCGAAGGCGGGGATGAAATGCAGGCAGCGCACGATGCGAAACCAGCGCAGGTACTGGGCGATGCGCAAGTAAGCCGTGGCACGAACCTCGCTCCCAGCTGCGAACCGGGCTACCAGAGAGACGCCGACATCTACTGCCTGCATGAAGATCACTACCATGTCCAAGACCAAGAGCACTTCTGGGCGTGGACATCTGCGCAACCTGAAACCCATCTCAAGGGTGAAGAGAAGGAACACGACAAGATTCGCCCACATAAAAGAGTCGGGAATATCGTGCAGCCCGTAACGCGCACAGGAGTCCGCCTCAAAGGCAAGCAGGATCATACTGCTCACGATCAGCAGGATGACGACGCCGCTGATGCATGTAGAATCCATTCCTAAGCCCCACTGGCAACCTGGCTCCGAAGAACCACTTGAGTTGAGCTGTGTGACATCCTGAAAGGGAGAGCAGCAGGAGCAAGAACAAAAGTGCAAGCTGCAACTACACGAACTCTAGCTGAAAATCCTTCAACCAGCAGGAAACTCGATAAAATAATCATCGCATGTGACTACTGTAGTTGCGACCTCCCTCAGGCCTGGTCTTCTCCTTTCCTTTCGCTGGACTCCTCTGCACGAACTTGCGGAGTGGCAGTGGCGGGTGTGGTCTGGTTAGTCGTGAGCGGTAGTAGCAGTGGCAGTGGCAGCAGCAGCCGCCGCGGCGGCAGCAGCAGCAGCAGCAGTCGCAATCGCAGTCGCAGTCGCAATCGCAGTCGCAGTCGCAATCGCAGTAGCAGGACGTAGCAATGTATCCGTGTCGGCAGGGGTAGGGATAGCGGTAGTGCTGGTGGTTGTGGTAGCAGCGTCTCGAGACTTTTTTTGTCGTCCAACAAATTTCTCGTAAAAATGTACAACATTTTAGTCTCGATTTTAGTCAGGGTAAGAAACGAGCTCCAAATAAAACATGAGCAAGCAAACACGACATTGAGGATCCTATTCATGAAGGTAGTGACATCATCGCTGAGGGCTGCCTTCTAGTAGCTGGATATCAAAAACCACAAAGCAAGTCAGCAGCAATCATCACAAGATCTAGTGATAATGCAATCAAAACTGGATCCACGGCAAGAGTGGTCGCTAAAGCGAGGCTCACACTTTCACTCTCAGCAACACGAAGAACATGAAACGCTGCACAACGACGTAGAGAAAGCCTAAACCTAAACCCCTGCCAGCCCTGGCCTGGCTTGTCGGACTCTGTTCACTGTCTGGCTCTCCTTGGACATTTTGTCTGACAGCCACATCGATGCTCCGCGGGGAGACGGGTTCCGGTGTCGGCGTGCATCCATCGCTCCATGTACTGGTGGTGATGCTCCTTCCCTCGGAGTTTGCTGTCCCTTCCATGTCTACTCGCCGGTTTGACCCTGCCCGTTTAAAGCGAACAGTTACTTTGGCAAGCCGCGGTCGTCTGAGTAAGGCCCTTGCAAGCCTTCGAACCTCTTGCCGGTCTTTTTGCAAGGCCGCTTTCAGGCCTCTTAGCTCCCTCAGCTCTTCCTGCCGCAACCCATCGGTGGTTTCACGCGCGCAGATCGAAAAAGGGTCCCAGCTAAGAATCCCTGCGGCCATGGCTTCGAAGCGTGCGCCCTTTCTATAAGAGCTGTTTTAACGGTGAATTACTATAACAGTTACTTTCAAGATTACTATACGGGTTACGATAAGGGTTACTATTAGGGCTTCGGAAGGGCTTCTATAAGGGGAAGCCTTGAAGCCAAAGCTATGGGACAGACATGCTCGCGTACGCGAGGTCGTCAGGGAAAGCCCCGGACACATGGAGCCCATGTTATGCCCAAGTGAAACGTATCGAGATCTCACATCCCTACATCCTGGGTCCTAAGCCCAAAGCCCTTTAACCCTAAAGCTTTTATAAAACCGTAAACCCTCGACCCTGGGTTCTACCCTCATTTCATCGCAATAGTTTGGACGGCTCCATTATTGCATGGCAGAACACTGCACATTGGACTAGTCCAAAAAAATTGGACTTCTTATCCCACCAAAACGGTAAAATCCAGATGAAAGTCATGTCAACCCTGCATTTCCACATTGTATAAACACAGACCAACGTCCCAACGCACGAAAGTCAAAACAAAGCTCATGTTATTACATGGTACAATCCCTGTATAAGACAAAAGCTCTTACCCTGAATCAAGCTGTTCAGCAAGATTTTGTTTTTTGCACAAAGACTCAAATGAAGACTTGGGGGGCGCATGATCTTCCAATAAGCTTTTTGTACGATTGTTCGCTTTGCTTCTAAATCAGAAACGACTGTATCTTCATCTTCCAAAAATCCATCCCTCACAGATTTTGTGAAGGCACACATTTCTGCACTTTGTCCACTACCATCTCCACGGATTCAGGGCGCCTTGCAAAGCTCGGTGTTGTCACTGTTGCGGTGGCGCTGCACGCTAAGAACCCTTGGCAGGGTTTAACGATTGCAGCCTTCCGGCCTGACTCCATGTTCCACTGGGTTACGGCAGAACAGCTCCGCACTCACATTGAGGAACGAACTTGCACCAAGCATGGAACTTCTGTTGCCAAACCACAAGTGTGAAAAGACTGGCCAAGCCTCCTCTACAGATTGATCCTCGCCAGCTTACGCTCTCCCCAGGAAGCTTTGTCAGTCACAGGCATCTGCTCATTGCACAAAACGAGAAATTACCGTGCATGTAAGCTGTTTTTCTCCAGACAGGCAAAAAGCCATCACGCAGCGCACGTGGTTCGAATGACTTGCAAAAAGGAAAGCTATGTCACTATGTCTCTCCGGCGGGCCTTGAGAATGGGCTTGAAGGGGGGCTTGAGAAGGGGGGCTTCCGCAAATTCGAATTCAAGGGGGGTTTCAGAAGGGGCTTGAAGGGGGGCTTGAGAAAGAATTCTCGAAGGGGGTCTGCCAAGGGGGCTTGAGGAAATTCGGAGGCCCCCCCCCCCTTCTTGAAGGGGGCTTGAGGCAATTCGGAAGCCCCCCCCCCTCCTTCCTCCCACTCCACAATAAGCAAATGGGGGGGGTAGAAAGAAAACAGTCTCGTCTCTACTCCTCTGATTTTCGAATAATGAAATACAAAACAAAACAAGATTCGAGGAGTGTGGAATTTAGAACAAGGCCCCTTCTCTCTTCTCCCCTTCCTCCCACTCCACAATAAGCAAATGGGGGGGGCTGCACCCCCCCAACCCCCCCGCTTTGTACTTCTAGAAACAAAAGCAGTCTCGTCTCTACTCCTTTGGTTTTCGAAGAATGAAATACAAAACAAAACAAGATTCGGGCGGGGTGGAATTCAGAATAAGGCCCCTTCTCTTTTCTCCCTTCCTCCCACTCCACAATAAGCAAATGGGGGGCCAAGCCCCCCGCTTTCTACTTCTAGAAACAAAAGCAGTCTCGTCTCTAATCCTCTGATTTTCGAAGAATGAAATACAAAACAAAACAAAATTCGAGGGAGGCGGAATTAGAATAAATTCCCTTCCTTCTTCTCCCTTCCTCCCAATCCACATTCTCATTTCTGCCGTCCTCCCACTTCCTGATTTAAAATAAAGTCCTCTCTTCCCCGCTTCCGCTCACCTCTGAACTGCGCCCCCCCCAACCAGTCTGCTTTTACTTCCAGAAACAAAGACAGTCTCGTCTCAATTTCCGAACAAATGAAAAATACAAAAACAAAACAAAATCCAAGGAACGCAAGACGTGTGCCCTTGAAATCCAGTTTGCGTGTGGCAAAAAACCAGCTTTTGCCTGTTGATGCGAACAACCGCGTTGGTGCAGTAAAACATGCAAGCTCCTTGCCGTTCGGGTACTACCTAAGCATTTTGACGTCAGCACCCACTTCTTAAAACCAGGTTTGAAACAAATTTTTTCCGGCAAACCCAGGTTTAAAAACCTGGGCTTGGAAACCCAGGTTCTGGTTTCCAACCTGGGTTGACCAAGTTGAACTCTGGGTTCAACCCAGTTTCAACAGGTTGGAAACAGGTTTAAATTTGGTCTTAAAACAGGAGAAATCTTAATATCTTGATTCCCTTGTTCTTTTGCTTTTGTTTCTTGCAATTCGAAGAAAGAACCAGCCTACGCAGCTGCAAGAACTGCAAGCCTTCTGGGCGGATGCAGCTTGCCGCGCCCTCCATTCGTGGCAGGAAGATGCTTGATGGTGGAACCTGGCTCAAAACCAAACTCTTGACTTCCAGCGCAGCGGCCCAAAGTTTTTCATAAAGGAATTGCCAAGAAGAAAACCAAAGAAAATTAAATGCACAGTGCGTGCCTTTGTCTTGCTGGATTAATCTGATAAGATTTATTCAAATCCTTGGGTTATGTTTTGTTGCAGCGGTAAATGCGAGACAGAGGCTGGTGAAGACGGTTGAAACAAAAGCATGTTTGGGTGACTGCAACGCATGTCTTGTCTTGATGGGATGGCCTAGAAAGTTTTAAGACTTTGTTCGTTGCCGTTGGACGTGTCGGATGGAAGCGTGGACTCTGAAGCTTTGCTGTTTGCTGTTCGGAAGTGATCTAAAGTCTTCAAGGTGTGGACCAAAGCAGTTGCATTCTTTTTGCTTTACCTTCTTTGTAGAACAAAGAAACTTGTAGCTTTTTGAGAGGATGGGCCCCCCCCCTTTGGGCAAAGGGGGGCTTAAGCCCCCCTTTAAGCCCCCCTTTAAGCCCCCCTTAAGCCCCCCTTCAAAGGGGTCCCTGCAAAGGGGGTCCCTTCGGGGGGGGGGGGGAAAGGGTGAAAGCCCTTAAGCCCCCCCTTAAGCCCCCCTTAAGCCCCCCCTTAAGCCCCCCCTTAAGCCCCCCCTTAAGCCCCCCCTTAAGCCCCCCCTTTAAGCCCCCCCCTTAAGCCCCCCCCTTAAGCCCCCCCTTAAAGCCCCCTTCAACCCCCCCTTTAAGCTCCCCTTTAAGCCCCCCTTTAAGCCCCCCCCCCTTTAAAAGCCCCCCTTTTTAAGCCCCCCCCTTTAAGCCCCCCTTTAAGCCCCCCTTTAAAGCCCCCCCTTTAAGGCCCCCCCGTTTTAAGGGGCTTAAAGCCCCCCTTTAAGCCCCTTTTTTTAAGCCCCCTTAAAGCCCCCCCTAAAGCTCCCCCCTGAAGCCGCAACCAAGCCCCCCCCTCTGTGGAGGGTTTAGGCAGCAGTTTAAGAGGCCTAATACTTGCTGGGCCTTTGGGCAGCAATTTAAGAGGCGTAATACTTGCTGGGCCTTCTGCGGAGGGTTTAGGCAGCAGTTTAAGAGGCCTAATACTTGCTGGGCCTTTTTTGGAGGGTTTGGGCAGCAGTTTAAAAGGCGTAATACTTGCTGGGCCTTCTGCGGAGGGTTTAGGCAGCAGTTTAAGAGGCCTAATACTTGCTGGGCCTTTTTTGGAGGGTTTGGGCAGCAGTTTCAAAAGGCGTAATACTTGCTGGGCCTTCTGCGGAGGGTTTAGGCAGCAGTTTAAGAGGCCTGATACTTGCTGGGCCTTTTGTGGAGGGTTTGGGCAGCAGTTTAAAAGGCGTAATACTTGCTGGGCCTTCTGTGGAGGATTTAGGCAGCAGTTTAAGAGGCCGAATACTCGCTGGGCCTTTTGTGGAGGGTTCGGGCAGCAGTTTAAGACGTCTAAGAGGCTTAATACCTGCTGGGCCTTCGGTGGAGGATTTAGGCAGCAGTTTAAGAGGCCTAATGCGAGCATCGTGTTTGCAAATGGGGGGGGCTGCGCCCCCCCCAACCCCCCCGCTTGTTTAAGCCGGGCAAACTCGCGTGGAAGCATATGAATCATGTCCAAAACAAAACAAAACAAAACATGGGGTTCTCGGCTTAGCCCCGCGCCACGTCACTGCTATGCAAATGGGGGGGGCTGCGCCCCCCCCAACCCCCCCGCTTTTTTCTGCCGGGCAAGCTCGCGTGGAAGCATATGAATCATCTCTGAAACAAAACATGGGGTTCTCGGCTTAGCCCCGCGCCACGTCACTGCTATGAACTCTCTGCTCCTTGAAACTCGAGTAATGAACACAAAAAACAAAAGAAGAAGCGAGCGGGGTGGAATTGCCCTTAAGCTCCCCTTTAAAAAGAGTCTCACTTCTCTGGTTTCGAAGAATGAAACCCAAAAAACAAAACAAGATTCGAGGGGGGTGGAATTTAGAATACATTCCCTTCTTTCTTTTCGTAAAGGGAAATGAATGTTTAGAGTCTCACTTCTCTGGTTTCGAAGAATGAAATCCAAAAACAAACACAAAATGTAAAACAAGATTCGAGGGGGGTGGAATTTAGAATACATTCCCTTCTTTCGCTTCGTAAAGGGAAATGTATGTTTAGAGTCTCACTTCTCTGGTTTCGAATAATGAAATCCCAAAAAAACACAAAAATATAACAAGATTCGAGGGGGGAATAAATTCCTTTCTCTCTCTTTTAGAGTCTCACTTCTCTAGTTTCGAAGAACGAAATCCAAAAAACAAAACAAGATTCGAGGGGGGTGGAATTTAGAATAAATCCCTTCTCTCTCATCTTCAAGATAAAGTAATGTTTAGAGTCGCCCTTAAGCCCCCTTTTTTCAGCCCCCTTAAGCCCTCCCCCTTAAGCCTCCTAGCCCCCAAGCCCCTTTAAGCCCCCCCCTTTAAGCCCTTAAGCCCCC